TTGTTTGACAAAACAAATTCATACCACTAATTCTCAACGGATCCAATCCAAGGGCCTTGTTTATTTCGACTTAGTGCTATTTAAGCAACTCTTATTAAAGTGTTCCATCACCCGGATCAATGTACTTGTCTTGTGAAAATTTTCATGTCACTTCATTTTCTTCAATTAAGGTTCAAACCTATTGAAGTCTGACTCAATTTTATATCATCGCCACCAAAAGTTATTTGGCACATAACCAACGTATGCCTTAGAGAGAGGGATTTTAACTTTCGTGCCATCTATGACAATCCTTTTTTTTTTTTTTTTTTTTAAAATAATAAATAAAATTAAATGGAGTTCTTGGCAGTAGTTGTGTTCTGTGATTTGAAAGAATTATTTGCTAGGATTGTAGATAAATTGAGAAAACGAATTCATGTTATGTCCTCAACACAATTTCGTTCTCTCTATTGCTCAATCTCTCAAGTTATTGTCTTCCAAAATGGAACAAATTTTGGCCCCCTATGGAAGCACTACCTCAAGAGGAACCTACAAAATAAGTTTTTTCATTTATCATCGAACTTTGACACTAACATTGATGTAGAATATTTATAAAAAAAAGGGATTTATTTGTAAAAGTGAGGAAGTAAAAAAGAGATTTAATTGTGTAAAAAAATGCCTCTTGAAACTTCTTATAAATAGCTTTTATATGTAGCCATTCATCCCTTAAAAGTTGTGACATTTAAAAGAAGAGTTGGTAATTGTTGTGACCAGTTAATGATGAACTCAGGTCACATCTATCTTTAGGCGTCCAAATGCTACTAGAGTTGAAGACCTAAATGCCGAGACAAATTGATCTGGAACCCAATTGCTCTTTTAATTATGGTATTTTACTGGTGAAATCTTCCCAATTGAAAATAATTTTTATGAACTTTAAAATCTTTTGTGTTTTAATAATATAGTTCCATCAACTTGAGGTTCAAAATTCGGAAGGAAAAGCTTAGATCACCCACTTAATTCTGTTCGAGTTACTTCTCTTTCATGGCCACGTATCTATCTGACCAAGTAGTGGCATTGCATATGCATGGCTTGGCCCTCTGATCCCTCGAGTATTTGGATTGGACTTCTCATTTGCATTGAAACTTATTTAGACAGTTTATAATGTGTAGGTTAGCGATGCAGTTGTGAGAGAACCAGTGTGCGAGTTGCCCAAAATATTATGGTCCTCACATTTATCCTTGAAAACTGGAGTTAAGGTCGGTGGTGCTTAGAACCTAGTTTTTCAAATAAATTTGCTGCAACCAGTTTGGGTTTTTTCTCTCTCTCTCTCTTTGTACAAGGTTTAATTGATTCAATATAACATGACTCGCCGCTTTCCCCGTTTGCACCCTCGTGATATTCACTGTAAAAGAAGTGTGAACATAGCAACCAGGTGTTGATGATGTCAATTTGCTATTCTATAACTGCACACAGGTAGAGGTCAATAAAAATTCGGCTACTCGTTTTTTGCAGCTGAGGCCAAAGATGAAGATCAAATTAGTTCCTCACTTGACAATTGCAAGTGCAGAAGCCCTTCCATTCGTATTTTCGGGTGCAAGCAGCCGTGGTAAGATCTAGCAACGTTTCAACTTTCGATAACATGTAGCTCAAACCACTGGATATAGTCAGTTTGGGAGGGTTATTTGAGACATCAAGAGATGTGTCCAGTTGCAGCCTATCAGTATAAAAAGGATTTTACCGACTTTGGGGTTTTACTTATTGTCATGTAATGGAGGCCACGGTTGAAGTCATTGAATCATAAGTATCCAAATATAAATATATTTGGATACTTATGATTCAATGACTTCAACCGTGGCTTCCATTACTCAAATGCTTTGATGGTCTATTTAGAATCATGGGTTTTTCTTATTCTGTTTTCTAAAAGAATTTCTGGTTTGAATAGCATGGTTGTCGTGTTTATATTTGAAGTAAATTTTTGTGAAAACTAGTATTATTTATAATATGAGAATTATGAAATTTTGTTGATAGCCGGGTCCCAATCAGGTCGTATTGCAGGTCGACCCGTCCCCTTATCCTGGCCATGCTCTACGTAGGGGCTTGTGGCTCGCAGTACCCATAACAAGCAACCCGAGACGAGCACCACAGCCCGGTTTACGTCTGTACCCAAGCAAATGTCCAATGCGTTATCTACAGGAAAAGCAAAGAAAGTGTGCAAAACGACCTTAATCATCGAAAACAGATTTTAATAAAATATGTTGACTCGTGTGGGATCAGAAAGTTACATTTTTAGGTACAGCATTTTCAATTACCTTTTATCCTTCAAAGTTTGCTGCTTTTTCTCTGCTTTTAATGAAAGTGGTTTAGAAAAAAAAAGTGGCATTTCACCATAAAGCAGAAAAGGAAAGTTTATTTGCTTATTTAATCTCTAAGGTTGCCCCTCCATGTTCAATCTTGTAAAAAAAGAATCAGGAGATAGCCATGGATGAGAAAGTATAATTCTTGGATTAATTATCCATACATTTCTTAAGGCCCTGAATTTGATATGTTATTGAAGAAATTATCGGCAAAAGAAGATGATCCTAATAGAGCTATATGTGTAATTCAGTGTTGAGATGTTCAATAAGATGAATTAAACAATACTCGACTGTATTAAAGAAAATAAAGTTAAAATTTTGTTTATTGTGTTGTCTAGTATGAATTGGTACTAGGTGCCAAAAATAGAGCGTTGCAATAGTAAAATAGTTTAGAAAGAAGAGGGTAGACAAAAATTAATATGTCAAGTAGTAGATGTAATAATGAATCAATTGGTTGATGAAAAAGAATTCACATAGCTAAGTTGTTGCAAAGTATTTCTTTCTTTCCTCTTGCCTAATTGTACATTGAGGAATGTTAAGTATGCAGCATTTGACAAGATAGAACTCGATAAATAATAGATACAATTTTATCTTCCTTTATGCTATAATATAGTTTCGTGCTATCGAGTCCACCTTACGAACAAACTCGTGGAATCTTGATAGGAGAATTTCCTGTTCTTAACATGTCTCATATTTATCACAACAGATGGAAGATTAATTTATTCAGGAAAGTACACAAATTCTTCCATTTCTTATTTAATTCAAGACCAGAAATCCCACCATTGATAACTACTAGAATTATGGTCAAGAAAATTCTCATGTGATGCCAAAGAACTGTCTGAAGATTCAACCATGTGCACAAGCTCAGTTTCTTCTTCCAATCCAAAATAATCTGCTTTTAAGTTGCTGTCGTTTTCTGATCTATCCAAACACAGCCTTGGATTTAGTACTTCAAATTCATCACTTTTCATGTTCTCTCCATTAACTGATGATTCTCCTTCAATTCTGTTCCCAGGATTTTCTTGTTTAGGACACAGAATTTCCATTTCTGATTTGCCCACCATGTCATTCAATTTCTGCAACTGTTCAAGAAAATCACAAATGTTACAAAAAGATCTGAATTTAGGTATCCCTAGTTTTTGCTGCTTAATTGAACGAGGAATGGATGACAAATATCAATAAAATTGAGGGTTCCCTGAGGGCCAATCTCTGTCCGGCCCGAGGAAACTTTTGCACTCCTCCGTTTAATGCCTTCTTTTTAGATAACCTTAGAACACTAGACAATATTAAAGAAGAGAAGGCTTCTATTCGTGTGTCTTAATTGACATTTCCACACAATAGCATGATTTAAATCGTAGTATTAAAATTGAAATACCTGGTTAGCTAAGGCCTGTTTCTCCTTTTTTAAGGTTTCAAATTGTGAAGCTAGACTGTTATAGTTGGCAAGAAGTATGTTGTAATCTTTTTCGATTTTCTTCGACTTCCATCGAGCTCTCTTGTTCTGAAACCAAATTGCAACCTGTCGAGGCTGCAATCCAAGCTCTTTTGCAAGCTGTATCTTCTTCCTTGGCTCGAGCTTTGTCTCGGACTCAAACATCGTTTCCATTGATCGAATTTGTTCGTCGCTAAACCTTCGTGCATTCTCGATCTTCTTTTTCTTCTTTGACTCTGTATTCATGTTCGTAAAGTAGTCGACTGAAGACCAGTATTCTTCTCCTCCATCAAACATCTTTTTTTCAGATTTCTCTCAAAATTCATGCAAGTTCTAGTACTGAAGTGTAGTTTTTTGGAACTGTGTGATCTTGTGTTTTTATGTACTTCTTGGAGGTTGGTGTAGCAGAATCTTAAGGTTCCTTGTCTGGTTGGGATTCTGATGAGTCACTCTGATTTATATAGAAAACCAGTTGAGCATGTTTCGCTAGGTTTTAAAATTTTACTTATTTAAGTCATGAAATAAATAATTTTTTATTTATATACAAGTTGAACATAAGTATTTACTTGGATAGTATGGTAAAAATTACTTTAAAATAAATATTGTTTTCGCTTAGAAATAAGAAATAATCCAAATATAATTAGAAATGTAATGTTTTCAAAGTATTTATTATTCTTTTTAGACAATCATCTGATTTTTGAAAAATAGCTTACAAGATGCTCGAGAGCAACACGATTTCATAGTTTTCTGTAAACTGGTCCTTGACATCGTTGGTGTTGGACCAATCCACTCTATAATCAAACTAAAAGTTCAAATTCAAGTCACGGCTACTTATTTATGAAAAATCTAGTAGATAGTAACACGCTTATATAGACAGAATAAATGTAATTAGACCCTTAGTTCATTAATGCCAATAGCTGAAAATACTCTTCTAAGGAAACACATTGAAGGGGAAGTAGCCTAGAACAACTTAATCGCTTACCACTTTTAATGATATATCCTCGGGCTTTCTACCTGTCTCTATCTATTTTTCAATCTTTTATAAATCTAGCTTGCATTTTGACGCTCCCCTCACATGGGGTTGCGGGCCCCACTCCCCATGTGAGGGGAGTGTCAAAATGAATGTACACCAATGAGTGTACATTCATCATTATCCTTGAAAATAAACTCCCATCTTCCATAGAAGGAAATTGGGTGGGTCACATTTATTCAACAATCAAAAAGTCATTAACCATTTAACTCGGGGAGGATTCCTATCCTTTTTTGTTAAGCGGGACTCCATTTTCATAAGTTAGCACATAAGACAAGATTGTCCGTCACTGGAAGTACCACTTCTAGTCTAAAGGCTACGGGATAGGAGGGAGACATTGGGCGAGATATTTAGGTAGTGAATCTCCCATACAAATAGAGACACCTATAGAAAAGACACTCCGAAGGCTTTAGGATGAGGACTCATTAGCTAAGTATGCGCATAAAATTTATCTAATGTAAAATACATATTTTATTGGTTTATTTGCTTAGACTACCAACGTAAAAAAAAAAAAATTGGTGACAGAATAATTGTTATTATTTGTCATTTTCATTATCTTCATTCGCTTTAAAATCCTACAACATGGCTACTTGAATCACGTTGTGCCATCAATTTGTCATGTCCATTCTCACTTGTTTACCCATTCATTGCCCATATGGAGCAAGTTTGATTAAAATTTTAAAATGTAAAAATGCTTTTTTAAATTAAGTGTAATTTAAAAAGTTCATTAAAATTAAATTTAAAGTCAACAATTAATTAAGACTATATATTTCAAGGGGACGACATTATGGACTTTTGAATTTTCATCAATTTTTACCAAAATCTACAAATAAAACCAAACAAGATTAAAACATGCTTGGATAATTTCTTTTCTTTCTTTTAACTTTTAAGTGATAAAATTACTTGTTTTGAAAGTTTTAACCTTATTTATTTACTTATAATTTTAAACTTGCCAAACATGCTCCAATGGCATTTGAGCACGATGCCTTGAGAATTAAATGGGTAGAAAAAGTAGATGAATTTGAAAGAATCTAATAATCGAAATAGGTGAGCAAATAAGAGGTGATAAGGTTGAGCCACCGTCCCAGGCCTGATATTAATATTCTTAATTATATTTCTTAATCATAATTAGAACACAAACATTAAAATCTAAAACACTAAGGAAACAAGGCATCTGTTATATGTCACATCCACCCAATAATATCCTGCCACTTGTCTGTAGATTTTTGAATCTAGAATCACCAATAACGTGGCAATAAATTGGTGGTCCAGCTCTGACCTACTGCAGAAGACACGTGCTAACTTTACATCTTCCAGCGGTGCGTGGGGCCACAGTTTTGTCTTGTCGAGGTTGTTACGTGTCGTGACTTGGGTTAACTGAAAAGAATCTAGGTAAAACATCTTCTTCAAAATTTTGTCATTTTTATATTATTAATTAAATTGATCGTGTCAAATATCCAAAAATGCTGAAGCATCCATCATCTTTGACATTTGATGTGTGTTGTTAAGGGTTTATTTGAGCTTTATTTTTGTGTAAAATATATTTTGAAATAGTAGATTAATAGAGAACGTATGTTAAAAAATATAGAAAATTTTTAAATTTACATGTAATATTATTTTATTGAAAAAAATGTAATTGAAAAAAAGAGAGAGAAAGAAAAGTATATTTTAAAAAAAAAGGGAGATCAAACAAGGGTTAAAACGGTTTCGAACGAAAAACTGTTTGATTTTTTAAACTATCAAATTGTGTGTCGTCAAGTATAAAGTGTAGAGAATAATATAAATGATAATGTACATATACCATGATTGTAAAATATAGTGTTTATAAATAATGAATAGGTGGTGTGGTGTAATTAATCCACATTTGACATTCTTTATTTCAAAACTCTTTTTTTTTTATATATTCATTTTCAATTGCAAATTCACACAATAATTTTTTTTTTTTACATAAATCTAAATATTTTTCCTACTTTTTAAATATACATTCTTCAAAAATTCATTATTTAAAATTTTATTTTTGCCAATTAATGCACGTCAAACAGTGGGTAGGGAACATATAGATAGTACATGATTTGATGGACTAAGAGTTTTGGTACAATTATTTGTTTGGGTTGTACAGGAGTAGTCTTCCTTGGTCGAGGATTAGTAAGGCTTCGATAGAAAAGCTTGGGTGAGATTGAGATGTTACAAAGGTCGAATTTTTATCAAATATTTAGGACATGCTCAAGGTCTTTTCTCGAACTAACTGGTAGGCCGATGACAAGGCTCCTTGAGGTAGAGGGATCTGCTTATAAAAGATTTGCAGGTGACTGAGGTGATCTCATTGTTATAACTTCAAACTATGTGACACTATTGTGACAGTAAATGTTAAATACAATTAAATGAGTTATTTAATTTCACATTTCAGTTAGTCTATCACCCAACACTACATAAATTGGGATTATAGTCGCAATGATAACATTATTCTTCTTCTAAGAAAGCATCATTGTTGACCTATAATTATTTAGTGTGGATTGCAAGGTCAAAGGGCAAACATGATCCACATTGAAGAATAATTATCGTATTATTGTTGGTTTGTAACCCAAACTCGTTGGTTTTTTTTTTTAATATTGTTTCCTTTATTTTGCACAATTTTTATTGGAAAAATATTGTTCATTTATTTCATACGATTTTTTCTGTGAAAAATATTGTTTCCTTTAGTCCACGCTTTTTTATACTATTTACATATTTATGAATATTGTTAGGTTTTGATATGTCCTCCATATATAGTGGCTCTTCTTTACAAGTTGATTCATAATTGAATAAAATCTCGAATTCCTTTACCAAATTAAAATTTTGGTTCTTATATTCTTGTTGTTGTGATCAATACTTCATATCGTGTCGTACAACCTCCCCTCCCCAACAACTGGTATCATAGTTTTAGTTTTTTTTATTTGTTCGAGGTTCTTGTTCTAGATAGCAACCATGAAGTATGATATTTCACTTTTGAATTGCAACACTAAATTTTAGTCGTGGCAGGTAAAAATGAGAGTCGTACATGCGCAGATAGATTTGGATGATGCATTGTTGAGATTTGATAAGATACCCTCAACTTAGTCGACGAAAAATAAATAACGTAAGGATCATAAAGCACTTTCACAAATTCATCTTCATCTTCATCTTTCGAATAACATATTTTAGAACGTTTTGAAAGACAAAAACGGCAGTTGCGTTGTGGTCGAAGTTGGAGCAATTTTGTATAACTAAGACTCTAACTAACAAATTGCACCTGAAACCGCGTTTGGATTCTCATCAAATGACAGAAGGAGAATCCTTGGAAGATTATCGGCTGTTTTTAAGGATATCATCGCTGATTTGGAAATTTTAGAGGTAAAGTATAATGAAGAAGATTCAGCCTTAATTCTTTTGTGTTTGTTGTCCTCTTCATTTACTTTGGTTAGAGAAACGATTTTATATAGTCGTGATACTCTCATATTGATGATGCGTATAATGCTTTGTTTTCAAATGAAAAGACGTAACATTGGTGGATATGAGGCTAGAAAGGGAAAATGTCTTGTTGTTCATGGTGGTCTTGGAAGGGACAAGTCCAAATCTAATGTCAGTAATCAAGTTTGCTTTTATTGCAAGAAGAATTATCACATCAAGTGGGGTATAGAATAAAAGAAATTTGGTTACAAATCAGAAGGGAAAGAAATCAGAAACTACGGGTGAAGCCAATGTCATAGAGTTCTACTTGAATAATGGAGATGTGCTGGCTATTTCTGACGGTGAGTCTAAACCTGACGAGAATTGGAATTTGGTTACAGCTCGTGTTTTTCATAAGTGCCTCAATCGATATTTTTTTTCAACGTATGATACAGTGTCAACAGGTGTCGTGGTCATGGAAAACAACGCACCATGTCGAGTATCTTGTATTGGTAGAGTCAGACTTAAACCGATGGATAGAACAATTAGAATAGTTGATCAGGTTCAACATGTTTTGTATTTGAGGAAAAATCTCATCTCGTTGAATACTCTTGATTCAAAAGGGTAAAAATTCTTTGGTAAATGTGGGGTTTTGAGGGTTTGCAAAGGTGTCCATGTTGTATTGGAGGGGTGGAAAAATCTCAATTATACATCTTGTAAGGTTGTGGAGAATTCGTGGAGAATTTGTGAAGAACAATCATCAAAGGTTTAGCACCATGGTGAATATTCTGTTTAGTACAGTACCGTTGGGATTTCGTTTGGGGTTCATGTTGAAGAATACAGCTTAGTCGAGTTCGGAAGA